ATTCGTTATCATAGTACATTATTTAGCTTCATCAAACAACAAAAATGACAATTTTATAGACGAAAAACTCGATGAATTATATAATAATGTTCGAGATTATATGAATAATAATTGTAGACCAATACAGCCAAATTCATCCAATGCAATTGAATGGTACAACGGTATAGTTGAAAGAGGAAAACATAAAAGCGAAATAAACGCAAGTATTAAATACTGTCTTTATATAATAAAAATATCAGTATTAGAAACTTTTTTGAAATTGAGTTTCTGGCATACAATAAAGAATGTACCTAAAATAAAGACATTAGATCTTTGAAATTTGAAGACATTCAGTGTAAATGGGATCATAACTCTCGAATTTAATTTCAATTATATTGTTGCATTCATTTATTTATACTGAGATTAAAAAGTCAGTCAGAGGTCTATAATACAAGATTATTTTGTTTTGTTTTTTAATAATATATAATTAAATATAATAATGTAATAAATTCTTAATTTATTTATTTTACTAATTTGTTCTTTATTTGTCACCGTTTCTACAAATTAATTGTCTTATTTATTTAGCCTTAATAAATTTAATAAATACTTTTAATTAAAGCGTTATTACTATCGTTTTAATCTGATTGATATCAACCCATTGATGCAAAATAATTATATTTCTTGTTTTGAATTTTAATAATATGTCATTAAATAGAATAATCTAATAAATTCTTATATAATTTATTTTATTAATTTGTTCGATATTTGTCACTTTATCTTAAGCAGGATATAAATAAGGAAATATCAGATCACGTAGCTTTTGGAATAATCCACCAATTTTTAAAATTAAACATTATCTGAAGATTTGCATCGAAGCGTTTTTTATGATAGAGATTTTAATCACTGTCAGATATTATTATACTTGATCCATCTATGCCACGTACCACTGTGCCGCGACCCCCCTGTGCTCGGTTGTTTTTTTTTAATAATTAGCATTAATTTTCTAAAAATGTCAGAATTTGTATGCAAATAGTATAGATTTAATTTAAAAAATTTGTGGCGAGAGATAAGCATGAATGCGACTTTAATCACCCGTCTAAAAAACATCATTTTTTCGAATTTTATTTTTTTCAAATGGAAAATAATAGGCTTTCTCCACGCTAAAAGTCTATTACAAAAGTAATATATATTGTTGGTTTTTCAATACTTTTAATATATTTTTTCTGATATACTATGTGAACACATGCGACCCGAAGACATGCTATAAATTGGTCGGCTGTAAGACAAGCGTCTTGAATATCAGATATCTGTTCCTGTCGCTCCATTGCCTACAACTGAGTATTCTTAACGGACACATTACTTCTTATTGAGTGCTCTTGTTGAACAAACTCTCTGCGCTTGATATTTTAAATAATTTTCGACCTACTAATTATTGTATTGCGGTGTAACTGCAACGGAATGGTATTATGGCGGTTAGCTTTTACGTATTTTTAAAGAAGGGAAACCTTGTTGGATACACATCGGTGTAATGTGCTGTCGAGAAATCGTGTGTTGTGATTACCTATGTTATCGTTGTGCTAAACCGAGTTTCTGTCGGTCTTCTCTCTATGTCTCCATTGTCGCCACCATCTTATTGCTTCTCAGGTATAAGATCTATGGCGCATGCGAGTCAGTATATTTTTGTATTCGTTTTGTTGTAAAAGTAAAATATCACCTTTGCGATTTTCGCAGCCTTGTACGCCCAATATATCGCCGTTGGATCTATATATTTTCTGATATTCATCACAGTATTTTTCACAGCATATTGTATACGTAGGTCAGCTTGCATTCGACTTTAATTGATCCTTTCAATATTCAAAATTATCATCAATCGTTCAATTAGGCGATATGTATAATGCTTGTTCATCTTTTTTTTAAGACTTACTCACATTTATAATTTATTATTTGTTTATACCAGCGCTTTTGTAGCATTAGTATTAAGTGTTCCCCCTATCAACATTGGCGTATATAAGATTTTATGATTCTTGTATAATACATTTAATTGTTATAATTATATATTATCAAATTCATTCTACATCCATTCATACAATCCATTCACCGTATTCCTTCTCCTCGACATAGCTTAACTTAAGATAAAATAAAACAACGAACCTGCGTGAATACCATCCAGCGCTGCATTCATTCAACCCTGTTTTGT